CTGAGCTCTGGGCCTGGGTGCTGTCCCTCAGCTCTTCAGCTCAAAGGTAGCGCTCTACCACTTGAGCCACAGCGCCACTTCCGGCTTTTTTTTTCTTTTTGCTTATGTGGTACTGAGGAATCGAACCCAGGGCCTCAGGTATGCAAAGCAAGCGCTCTACCACTGAGCCAACTTCCCAGCCCAACACATATTTTCTTATAAGTCTCTGTCCAACTTAAAACTATAAAGTCACAGTTAGTACAATAATAGTAAATGTATAGCTCTAAAATGTAAGATTTATGATAAAGCACTCAGGTGGCTGCTTTAGAAGAATTACCGAATTAACAAGTGGCACCATTTGTAAGCTAAAAAATGTTCAATATCAATATAGATTTGGGAAACTTCAGGTGGAAATATGTGTTTATATGTGACAGAAATAGTTCTTTAAAATGTTGAGACAAAGGAGAAAGAGTGAACCAGTGAAACAGCAATACTTATAAGACACTATGTTGGAAATGGAGGGTAAGTGGGTGGGGGGAAGGGAGAGGAAAACTGGGAGGAAAAAGAGGGGAGGGGTAACAATGTTCGACAAGAAATGTACTCATTACCTTACATATGTAACTGTAACCCCTCTGTACATCACCTTGACAATAAAATTAAAAAAAAAAAAAGAAAAAACAGACCACTGAGGAAAACATGGAGAAATCTGGCCACTAAGGAGCTTTTTAACATCTTTTAAGATAATTAAAATAATTATTAAAAATAAGTAAAAATTTGATAAACTTGAAATAAAACCCATATTAAATGCTTTTTCACCAAAAGGAAAAAAAATACGTATCTAAGTATATTTTTATGTGCTGTTTTCTCAGATATAGTTAAGAATATGTCCAACATAGCTAGCGAGATCAGTAGAAAGCCCACGGATTGGTAGGTCTTCACTAGCCATACAACAGACAAGGCCCTCATACCTAAAATATACTTAAAACTCAAAAAAATTAAATCTTTCATCAACAAATCCTCAAAGAAACAACTGCCTGATAAATAAGTGGGCTAAAGACTTAAAGAGAGACTTCTCTGAAGAGGAAATAAGAATGGCCAATAGACAAATGAAGAAATGCTCAACTTCTGTAGCCATAAAAGAAAAGCAACATTGAGATTCCACCTTACCCCAGTTAGAATGGCTATAATCAAGAAATCTAATAACAACAGATACTGGAGGGAATGTGGCCAAAATGGAATCCTACTGTATTGTTGGTGGGAGTGTAAACTTGTTCACCTACTTTGGAAAGTAGTATGGAGGTTCCTCAAAAGACTCCACATAGAGCTCCCCTATGACCCAGCAATCCCACTTCTGGGCATTTACCCAAACAATCACAAACAAGGCCATACTAAAGCTCCAGCACAACTATGTTTATTGCAGCATTATTTACCATAGCTCAGATATGGAACCAACCCAGATGCCCCACAGTAGATAAATGGATTAAGAAAATGTGGTTGTATGTGTGTCTGTGTGTGTATTATACAATGGAATTGTATGCCTCCATCAAAAAGAATGGCATGACCCCATTTGCTAGGAAATGGAAAGACTTGGAAAAAATTATATTAAGTGAAGTAAGCCTGACCCAAAGAAACATAGGTCCCATGGTTTCCCTTATTTGCAATAACTAGTATATGTCTGGGACAAGCAGAAAAGGTCAGATAAGATGATGTTAAGCGAAATGAACCCCAAGATAGGGACACAAGTGATTTTTTTCTTTCTTGCTATTGTTTCTAACGTATTTTTAAGGTACCATGTGATTTTTTTGGTGCTTGTGTGTCCCTCCCCCATAGTATAACCCCTGATTTTACTGTATTTGATGTTGGTATAATTTGGGGAGAGGAGGGGAAAAAACAAATTGTTTAAATAAGGATATAGGTTGACCCATTGCAGCAATGAGATGTACAAGACTCTCTGTCAAAAAATGAACTTTACAATTTAGGTGGGGGCGGGTATAGTTGAGGAGGTGGAAGAGAAGGGATGGTAGGAGAAGAACAAAGGAGGAGGCAACAATGCTGGATATGAAATGTACTCATTACCTTGCCCATGTAACTGATCCTGCTGTACAGTATTTTCACAATAAAAAACTTATTAAAAATCATATTAAGTGAAGTTACCCAGTTCCAAAGAAATTTAGGTCCCATGGTTTCCCTTATTTGCTGAAAAGCTCAAAATGTACAAATGACCATATAAGATGATGCTAAGCGAAATGTACCCCAAGATATGAACACAAGAGGTCTGTCTTTATTGTTATTGTTTTAAATGTACCATGTGATTTTCTTTTGTTATTGTTGTTTCCTTTGTATGTTCTTTCCCCAAAAGCATATCCCCTGTTGTCACTGTACTTGATTTTGGTACCCTGCATCTTGTATATACATTTGTCTAATCTGGGGAGGGGAAGGGGAATAATAGAACACTGAAACAAGGACACAGGATGACCCATTGCAACAAAGATACCCACAGGACAGTATATGGAAACGAACTTTACAACTTCAGGCAGCTAGAGAAGGGGAGGAGGGAATAAGAGGTCAGGGAGGGAAGGATAGTGGGACAACAACAAGGAAGAGAAGGGGTAACAATGATCGACAAGTAATGTACTCATTGCCTTACTCATGTGACTGTGACCCCTCTGAATAGCATCTTAACAATAAAATTTTAAAAAGAAGAAAAGAAAAGAATATGTCCAAATAACTGTGGCTTAATGACATTTACTATCTCACATGTGATGTGGATAGAGAGGTTGGCTCAGTACCCCCAGTGGTCAGTGTTCTGGGTCATTTTCCTTCTTACCATCATGGCCACTGACAGGCTGCCTGCTCTGTATAAGCATTATATTTTTATACAACAAAATCCAAAAGCAGAAAGGAAGAATAGGACCTTTTCTATCTTTGCTTTCTTTTATCTGGATTAAACCTTTCCCCGTAATCCCAACAAAATTGTTATTCCCCATTAATCAAAACTGGTTCCATACTTAATTGTAAGTCAGTCACTGATACGAGGAATGGGAGTCCTCTGATTAACTTAGAAGTTTAGATTCATCTAGAACTGGAGTAGGGACTGCACTATCAAGATAGCTCAATGATGTCTCCAGTTAAGTCACATCAGGGTTTGTTATAAGACAGAGAGTCTGGTGAGTACCTGATTACCAAACATTGTTATGTAGTTCTAGTGGGACAATTTGTGTATAAATTTAATGAGTACTCCTGTATAAATAGCAAAAGTGCAATATATTGGTCTTAAAAGAGGACCATGTGATCCTATAAGGACTACTTGATGATTGTCATAGAAATCTAACATTTGGATTTTAATCAACTGCTTACTATTTATCTTGGGCATAGTCCATGTTTGTTGATATTTAATGATTTTTGACAGTTTCCGATTTATTTATGTTGATTATTACTTCTTTCAGGTGGATTCTCCACAGTTTTCTTGGTGCGGACTCATGGTGGAATCCGATGTGCATTGAAGCGAATGTATGTCAATAACATGACAGACCTCAACATTTGTAAAAGGGAAATTACAATTATGGTAAGTGAAAAAGTAACTTTGTGTTAGAAATTTGGTGTATTCTGTTTGAATCTCATATTCACAAGCTTTTAGTCAAGCTTCTTACTTGTTTATACACTATAGAAAACTTGAAGATCAGATTTAATCAGATTATCAGAGAAATTCATAGTTCATTCCTTATGTTAATCCTTAAGTCTGAATAGTCAACTGTTCTTCTCTTCTTTCCTGCTAGGTTGAACAGGCAAGTGATTCTTCTTTTTAATGAACATAATAAATACTATGTTTAATCACCTTCTAATTTAACAAATAAAACCTTACAGATACTGTTGAAACCTCTATGTGTTCTTCCCTAATTGTATCCCTGTACTATGTTCTCATGCCCAAAGAAACATCTGTCCTGTGTTTAGTGTTTACCATTTCTATGTATGTTTTATATATTCACTTTATGTATTTATACTTACAAACAGCGGTTTTCCATTAGAAAATCATGCCGTCAATATGATTTTCTTCTGAAATGTTTTCTTCTGAAGTATGCATTTTATGACAGAGCATCATTTAGCAAGGAAAAATTCCTTTTTGCCTGTAAATTGTAGCTACTCGGGAGGCTGAAATCTGAGGATCATAGTTTGAATCCAGTCAGCCAGTAAAATCTTTGAATCTCCAATTAACCATCCTCAAAAAAACTAGAGTGGAGCTGTGGCTCAAGAGGTACAGAGCTAGTCTTCAGGGTGCACCTGTGGCTCAGACCTGCAATCCTAACTACTCAGGAGGCTGAGATCTGAGGATCATGGTTCAAAGCCAGCCCGGCAGGAGAGTCCGTGAGACTCTTATTTCCAATAGAAAACCAGAAGTGGAGCTGTGGCTCAAGCATTAGAGCTTTAGCCTTGAGCTGAGGAGCGCAGCAAAAATTTCCTTTTCTTCTAGTGTTGTATCAGTGCTATGGAATGACCTTCTTGTTTTTATTCTGCCTTCTCCATCTTCTCTTTTTCTTCCTCATCCTTCACTGTTTATCCTATATACATATGTGTATAGGATATACACCTAAAATAGCAACTATATTAAAGTGAGTTCTTCCATTATTCATCCTTTCAGTAGAATTTGTATAATTTTTGTTTCTCTATACAGGATCTCTCATGTACCAGGCAACTGAGCTATATCCCCAGTTTTAGTCTTTTTAGTCTCATTATATTCTGATGACTGTTGTGTACAAGAAGTAAAAGTTTCAAATTTGTCATTTTGTTATTATTTCCTTAAACTCATTAGTGTTAATCTATAATCTCTGGTTTCTTTTCACAAATCTTTACTAGCCATTTGCAGTTTTTTAGATTATGAAGTTAGAAAATTTTAAATAACGACACTTGAATTTCAGTGTTACAGGGAAAACAAATGAGAATAGTACTGAAGAACTTAATTCTGTTTCTAAGAAAGTATAGTAGTTGTAACATTTATTTCTTGAATCATCAAGAATGGTCTTTTCAGTTTTCTGAAATATTACTTTTGAATAAATCATTTTCCTGGTTGAATTTAAGAACATATATTCATTGATTATTTGTTAGGAAATGGATGTCATATGCAGGCAAACTTCACAGTAAACCATACATGCCTCTCTTTGGTTGAAATGTGGCTGAATATTCAAGTTCATTAAATAATGTCAGTTTAGGCTTCAATTAATTACTAATACAGGGTCCAAATGTATATTTTACCATTTAACTTGTTTTCTTTTTCTTTTTCACAGAAAGAACTATCAGGTCACAAAAATATTGTGGGTTATCTGGATTGTGCTGTTAATTCATTTAGTGATAATGTATGGGAAGTTCTTATCTTAATGGAATACTGTCGAGGTAAGTATCTGCATTTGTCTTATACTAAAAATATTCTTCTTAAAATTGGTTACAACAAATAACTGGTTTCTCCCAAGGCAGACACTGAAAATTGCAATCTCAATTTTTATTGTCTTAATTAGAAAGCCTATTAAAAAGTCACTTAAAGTCTACTCATAGATTACAATTACAGTTGTTGTAATCACAAAGCTATAAAAACTACACAGTTGTTATAGTTAGGATATGAGTATGTGCATGGAAAATTATAAAGTGTTTGGTTTAAAACAGGAACAAGGAATCTCAGCTCACTGAAATTCTTTTATAGTTAAAAATTGTATAATGTGGGGCTGGGAAGGGGGCTCAGTGGTAGACTGCTTGTCTTGCATGCATGAGGCCCTGTGTTCGATTCCTCAGCACCACATAAACAGAAAAAGCCAGAAATGGTGCTGTGGCTTAAGTGGTAGAGCGCTAGCCTTGAGCTGAAGAGCTGAGGGACTGCCCAGGCCCAAAGTTCAGGCCCCACGACCAACAAAAACAAAAAAAATGTGTAATGTGCCAACATTAGTGTTGTAAAATTTTCTGATAGCCTCCATGTTACTGTAAACATACTAAATTTAATAAAATTTTAGGTTGCATTTTGACTTACGTATGATCTTTATTAACTGTTAGGTCATTTTTTTGGGTTCATGTATAAATATAAGAAGATAGAGAATTCTGTTTTATTTAGGCCTAATGTATTTTAAAGAAATGTTTGTTTTGTATAGCATACCTTAATGGTAATGTCATTAAAGATCATTGCTAATGTTAAGAATTTTAATATGTGGGTTTATGTGGGGGCGAGTACAATCAACTTGCTACAGACTTTTCTATTTTTTTTTTAGCTAGTATTAGGCAGTTTGATTTCTAAGCATCAATTTAGATTCTAGAAGGCAGTAATGATTGTTGATTAAATTTTCAAACATTCCTGCAATTTGCTGAAAGAAAGGAGAAAAATTATAGTAGTGATTATGATGAAAATATTTTATTCACATTAGTGTTGTAAGATGAGGACAGATGAGAATAAAATGAGCCAATATCGTAATATCATGATGTATTTGTAACTTATTTCTCTATATAACATTCAAAGATATTGTAATACAGTGTCCTTTGTTTCGTTTGCTCAAAATTGTTTTGTGTCTGTGGATTTTTGTTTTTGTGGCTTCACACAAAGATTAGAATTTTTTCCTGGTTCTATGAAGAATCCTTATGGTATTTTTATTACATTGAGTCTGTAGATTGCTTTTGATTGTGATAGGATGGACATTTCAGATTGTTGATTCTTCTAATCCTCGGATTTTTTTGGTCTCTTTTTTAATTTTTTTTTGTCTCATGATTTTTTTTAAGTTTTCATTGTAGGTGCTTCATTTGTTAAGATATATTTTTCTGGTAGTTATTGTAGCATTGCTTTCTTCTTTTAAGCTGATTTTTAGAACATCTTGCATCTTTGTTGAATTCATTTATTACTTGTAATAGGTTTATTGGAGGGTGGTGTAGCATTTGGGGTTTTCTTTGTGTAAGATCATTTCATCTGTACACAGTAACAATTTGACTTCATCTTTTCCAGCTTGGATGTACTTCTTTTTCTTTTTCCTGATATCCATGGCCATGATTTGTGTAACTACATTAAATAGAAGTGGTGAAAATGGATATTCTTGTCTTGTTCCAGATAATGGAAAACTTTCATGTTTCTCCTCTTCAGTATAGTGTTAGTTGTAGGCTTTTTGCACATGGCCTTCATTGTTCAGGGTTGTCTTCATGAAGGCATGCTAAGTTTTGTCAAATGCTTTTTCTCTATCTGTGGAAATGATTTTTTTTAAAATTCTGTTGATGTGGTGTATGCATCACAAGTTGCATGTGTTAAGACATTGCTGTATACATGAGATGAATCCCACTTAATCTTGTTGACAAATCTGAATTTAGACAGTCTAGGTATATAGCCCAGACAGGCTTGAATTTATAATTTTCTTATCTCTCCCTTCAAGTACTGGGATTAAAGGTGTGTGCTACCATGTTGTATAAGATGAAATGGATGATTTTAGTCTTTGAGTAATCTTTCTGTTTATCATTTTGTCAGTATTGGGGTTTGAAGTTAAGAGTTAAGGCTTTGTGATTATTACATGTATACACTACCATTTGATCCATGCCTTCATGTCTTCTGACTTGATTATTTTTCAGATAGGGGTTTTGTGCTTTTATTTATTTATTTATTTCCTTTTGCCTTTACTAAGTCTCCTGATTAGCTGGGATTATAGATATTATAGGCATGTAGTGCCACCATACCAGAGCCATTTCTCTCTCTCTCCCTTTGTTTTGTTTTGTTTTTTTTCTCATTTGTTTGTGCTCTTACTTAATTACCCTTGCTTTTACTGATTTGGATCTGCTTTGTTCTAAATTTCATAGTTCTTGAGCTAGTAATAGTTTTTTTCTTCTGTGGCTGTTTCTATATCCCATAAATTTTGATATATTGTATCTACAGTTTCACTTGTTTAAAGGAAGAATTTAAATATCCTTTTTATATTTCTTCCTTGATTTATTGGTTGTTGAAAGAATAAATTGTTTACTTTGTATATATTTATATACTTCTAAGTTTTTCTTATTATTAGTTTCTAATTTTATTGCCTTATATTCAGAAAAGATACTTAGGATTTCAGTTTAAAACAAACTGTTGAGCCTGATTTTGTAACCTATCTTATAATCTGTCCTGGAGAATTTTCCATATGCTGAATAAGAAGACAGTGTATTCATCAGTGGCTGGATGGAATATTCTGTAGGCGTCTGCTAGGTCCATGTAGTCTTGGGCTTGATCTCTCCTATTTGTCAAATTTCATTGCTGAAATTCTAGTACTAATATCTCCTGCTATTATTATTATTGGAGCTTGTCAATCTCTATGTCTTTTAATATTTGCTTTACACATTTACATGTGCTAATAATTGGTTTATTTCCTTGGCAAATAGACTCCTTTATCATTATTTAATGACTTGTCTCCTTTTATTACTTCTGATTTAAAGCCCATTTTATTTGATGTAAATATGGCTAGTCCTACTTTCTCTTGGGCTTCATTTACATAGAATATTTATTTCATCTGTTCACCTTTAGTTTATATGTGCCCTTTGTGACATGGTTATTTATTTATTTTTTTTGGGGGGGGTCCGGTCATGGGGCTTGACCTCTGGGCATGGGCGCTCTCCCTCAGCTCTTCAGCTCAAGGCTAGCGCTCTATCACTTGAGCCACAGCGCCACTTTTGGCTTTTTTCTTTTTGCTTATGTGGTGCTGAGGAATTGAACCCAGGGCCTCATGCATGCAAGGCAAGCGTTCTACCACTGAGCCACCTTCCCAGCCCCTGACATGGTTATTTTTTAATCCATTGTCACTCTTAATTGGAGAATTTAATCTATTTATACTTAATTTAATCTATTTATACTATTTAATCTATTTATACTTAAGGTAATGATAAATAAGGTCTTACTCCAGCCATTATGTAACTTGTTTTCTAGTGTTTTTCCTCCCAACTCTTCTCTTACAATCTTCCTTTGTGTTTATTCTGCTGTATTTTAATTATTTTCTCATTATTTTTATGCATTGTAGGTTTTTTTTGGGGGGGTTATCATTGGGCTTACAAAGTCCCCTTTTGATTTTAACAAGCTATTTTCAAATGCTAGCAACATAACATGATCATAAAGATAAGAAAAGTGGCCTGGGGAGAAGCTCAGAAGTAGAGTATTGTCTAGCATGCATAAATCCTGGATCTAGTACCCAGCACTGAACAAAACCAAAAAAAGTATTAATAAGAAAACTTTCCACTTGGATTTCATACTTTCCCAGTTAGAAATTTTAAATCCTATATCTTTTCTGTATTGTCTATCTTAATGTAGTACTTGAGTTTTATTTATTTGTTTTATTTTTATTTTAACAATCCTGGAGTTTCAACTCAGGGCTTTAAGTTTGCCAAGGAACCATTCTTTCCTCTGAGCCTTGTCTCAAGCCTTGGGTTTGATTCATTATGTTTTAGATAAGGGCTGTCTCGCTTCCTGCCCCTAGGTATGATCCATCTGTGTCTTAACAGGTGAGATCCCTCCTCCAGCACCTTTGCTGGCCTCTTCTTGTCACACTGGGATCCTAACGTTCTCAACCTCCTAAGAAGTTAGGATTACAGGTGTGAGGTAGTGGTGCATAGCTTATTTAATTTAATTTTTTTGAGACAAGTCTTGCTCTGTAGTCCAGGTTAGCTTCAAACTCAAGATCCTCCTGCCTGGTTACTGATATTACAAGTGTGTACAAACTATGCCCGCCTTCAGTTATTACTTTTAATTGCTTTTGATATTTACACTGTAGTTTGAATGTTTTTCATATCATATTTACAATATTTAGAGCATTCTGAATTCATTGGCATTATTTTTATTTAGACCTTTTAAACTTCTGATACTTTGTTTTTGCTTATAATGTCTCTGTTTTTCCTTTTAAATAACATCCATTAGTATTTATTTTAGGATAGATCTGGAAGGGACATAGTTTGTCAATGTTTGTCTTGAATGTGTTCCATTTCTAAACAATAGTTTTGCTGAGCACATTATTTTTGATTGGCAGATTTCTTCTTTTTCCTGCAGTGTAGTGAAAATCATCTATGAGAAATCTAGGTGAATTGAAATTCCCTTTATATTGTTTCTTTTCTCTGGCTTCCCTGAGAATCTTTTCATTTTCATTTGAGAGCTTTAGTATATCTTGGGTAGATTTGGTTTAGTTAAATCTAATGGTGACTTTTTTGATCTTTCAGTACCTGATTATTTGTATCTTTCTTTTAGTTTAGGAAAATTTCTGGTATTATGTCTTTTAATAAGCTTTTGGAATTCTTAAGTCTCTCTTGAACAGTTGTAGCTTGAATATTTGCTCTTGCATCCTATCTTAAAGTTTCAGAAGACTGTCTTCTCTTTCCTCATTTTTTTTTTTTTTGGGTTGGTCATGGGGCTTGAAATCTGGGCTTGGGCGCTGTCCCTGCACTCTTCAGCTCAGGAGAGCACTCTACCGCTTGAGCCACAGTGCCACTTCTGGCTTTCTGGTGTTTACTTGGAGATGAGTCTTACGGACTTTCCTGCCTGGGCTGGCTTTGAATGGTGATCCTCAGATCTCAGCCTTCTGAGTAGCTAGGATTATAGGCATGAGCCACCAGTGCCCAGTGTCTCTTTCCTTTTAATTCTTTTTTTCTTTTCAAAGAACCTATCTTCTATTTGATCTTTTCTGCTACATTTTTAATTTTACTTATTGTGGTTTTCAGTTCAAAGGTTTGAGTTTTTAAGATTGCTTCCATTTCTGTTAATTTTCCTTGTGAGAGTATTGAGTCTTTTCTCTGTGTTGTCCTGAAGCTTGAGTATCCTTACAGGTACTTAAGTCTCAGAGAGTTCTTTGGAGAACTGTGTGGTTGGTTTGTTATATCTTATTTTATCATTGTGTGTGCTCATGGTTTAGTCCAAGCTCTTGATACTTGGTGAACAATGTTATCTGTTTTAAGTATTTATTACAGACTGATTCTTTTCCTGTAGTCCCTTCACTGTTTAGTACTAGATGGTATCCTACAAGCTGGTTGTTGTGAGTCTGCTGATTGTTTTGGTATTGTAGGTTGATTGAAGCCCAAGTTTGTCCCCAAATCTCAGCTACTATTATTATAATGAACAGGTACAGTACCTAAAAAGGGTATTACAGGGTATTCTATCCCCTCAAGCTTCTTCCTGGGGCTGCAGTAGGCCTAGAAACCTGTATTAAAAGTATGACCTCTGAAAATTACTGTTTTGTTCAGCTGGGCAGGTCGTAAATCAGATGAATAAGAAGCTGCAGACAGGTTTTACAGAACCTGAAGTGTTACAGATCTTCTGTGATACCTGTGAAGCAGTTGCAAGATTACACCAGTGTAAGACTCCAATAATTCACCGGGATCTGAAGGTAAGTATAATACTTACACAGAATTGAGTACTACGTTCTGGACTTAAGATTTAAAATGTTTTTGGACTATTTGTGTGTGTGTGTATTTGTTTTAGGGCTCTAACTCAGGGCCCTGTGCATGCATGCTAGGCAAATACTGTATCACTGAGCTACATTCCTAACCCAGAACTAGGTTTGCTTACTAGCATGGAGGTTGATTTCTCTACCATCTTCTACGTTTCCTAAGGTTTCAGATTCCAGTCTACTCACTTGTGTTTTACTTGACTGAGAATTTTTAATATGACCCTACAGGTGGATTTTTTTTGCCCCCTGTTTCGCATCTCTGTTTCTTATAGTAGGTTTCTTGAAGCGGTCTAATTTGAGCAGAAATATGGATGTCACTGACACACATCAGGTGCCCCTTCACAATATTCGCTACCAGTTCATCCTTCTTTCTGTTTTTTTTGTTGTTTTGGAGATCACATTAAATTTCAGAGTATTTTCAAGATATCCTGGAGGAACAGAAAAGATACCAGAAGAGACTGCTACTGGGTCTCTTTTTGCATTTTTGTAATTAGCTTTTATTTTTTTACTTGCTATAATTTAATTATGATTATCTTACCTTCTCTTTTTGGTGTCAGTACTGGGGTTTGAACTCAGTGCCTGGGCATTGTACCTTATGTTTTGGGGTAATAGCTGGTGCTCTGCCACTTGAGCCATAGTCCTTCAGCTTTTTGGCGGTTAATTGGAGATTTTAGTCTCAGATACTTTCCTGCTATATCTAGCTTTGAAATGCAATACTTAAATTTCAGTCTCTTGAGTAGTTAGGATTACAGGTGTGAGCCACTGGCGTTGGCTTTATCATACTTTCTTATGGGATTTTGACTTCTTATATTTTGTATCTGCTTGTTACATTGAAATATCCTTCCAAAGAAATTGAAAATTCCTGGTATCATATTGCTAGAGAAATCATTTATCCATAAGTGTCTTCTTTGATGCCCACAATTACCGAGATTACAAAACTCATTCTTCTTGGCTTAGTGATAGAATCTTGCTTGCTTGTGACACTGAAATATTTTATGCCTAGATATTCCCTTGCTTACTTTTTCTCCACTTTCAGTTTTTGTCAGATTTGCTTTCTCAGTGAGTCCTATCCTGTGTTATATCTTTTAAAATCTAAAGGCTGACACTTGAGCTGCTTATCTCTTTTGCCTATTTTTTAAAAAAAGTATTTGTCATGTTCTAAGTTGTTGTGTAATTGGCTATGTTATACCTGTTACATGTGTGGGTCCTCTCTCAGCCAAATGTAAACTTCATGAAGGCGGGAATGTATGTCAATAATTTCTTTATCTTATAAACTAAATATAAAAAGTATTCATTGATTTTAAGATTCAATGAATTACATACACATTCATAGATTTTTTTCTTTTCTGGTGATGTATTTAGAACAGTGCAGTTCTAAGCATTCAGATCAGTGCCTGGTATATAGAAGTGACTCATTATTTAATGAAATAAGTAAATCCCTATTCTGGCTGATTATACAAGATTCTGAAATATGCTTACAAAATACATTTAAGATGAAAGAGAATAGATGTCACTTAGAATATAGGTTGCTAATCATGAAAGGTATCCTTGGTGGAAATATGTGGTAATAAGAATGAGGATAGTGTTAAAATTCATCACCTCACACATCAGTCCCTTAATTTGGAAAATAGTATGGCTCATCTTAGTATTTTAGGATGTGCAACTCTTTAATTTCCTCTAATAATTTGGAATGATTTTCTTGTGCTGTTATAGCTCATTAACTTTTGCATGCAAATTTTCTATTTTCAACTTAGTCTTCTTGTTTTAAAATTTAGAAAAGATATTAGAGTGCATAATTTTTGTTTAGTCCATATTTTATATGCAGGCTCTTGCATATGTAAATTTATGCAAACATGTTTGTATTAAATAGATTTCTTACCATGAATATTTTGTTCAAATGAAATACTGAAGGAAAGACTTAAGTATAATATATGGAAGGGAATTGGGGGGGGAAGGGGGTGGGAGGGAGGGGGGAAGGAGAAGGAT